GAAGGTGAGGATGTCATGGTCAACTGTGCTTGTTGATTAAAGTTAAAATAGTGTTAGCCAATCAGTTTTGATAGTTAATCGGTTGTTGTTTTTTATCAACTAGCTTGTCAAATGTGTTTAAAGCATTACTGCAGGTTAGGGCTGGGTGATATGACAATACTGGTGATGATATAAAGTCTGAATTGACTGAACTTTTTCTAAATCGTTTACAGAGGCCTGTCGGGGTCAGCAGATATATCCATGCAGCTTTTAGTTGGCAGAAATTATTGGAACGTTGGAGTGGAAAAGGAAGCATGGATGAATGATAATAGAATGTGATGTGCTTGGTGCAATTAGATTATTATAAGTGTATATGTCCTCTATACTTCTATGGCTCTCAATAGATTCAGTGGTTGGAGTTGGGTTAATACTCCTTGACGAGTTATGTTGCTACTTTCTGATTACGTTTCTGACTACATTTAAAATCAAAACATATTGATCATTTAATAATTGTTGGTAGCCAAATAGGTGTCCAATGATTGATAAATACATATTTGATTGTAATATTTGAAGTAGCTGTTTAGCAGGATCATGATTTTGCATACCATTGCATGAATGACTGCCTGGCACATAATATATTATTATATTTATGATTAACATTCAAATGATTAATTAGTTAGAAACTAGTTGCTATGAAAACAGGTGCCATCAGTTGTCTTCTTATGAATGACTTGTTTGTCATTGAGTCAGTGTTGCTGATGCAAAGTAGGCCCTTCGTTACCAAACACCAAGTAACTAAATTAGGATATAATTATGAGTCATTCGCAAACTGTTAAACATTAAAGTGTTGGTTACTTTAAAACTAACCTTCATCTGGGAGATGACAGGGATATGTGAATATTTTATCTGTTAACTGATTGCATGTGTCAGATTTATTGCATGACTCGGGCAGAGAAAAGCTGTTGCTATCAAACATTGTTTACTTAATCATCTGAGTCAGTGCAATGGTGAAGGGATAGATCAAACAGGCCAGTGATGGAAGGTTTACAAAGAAATTTCATGCTCCCTTGTAAAATTATTCTTTAGTATTTTTAAAATATAAAAATACAGAATGTATTTTGATACTTGGTGTGGCTGCTGTATTTTGTAGTTTATTTTGATATTAATATATCAAAATAATTTTAAAATGAAGGTATTTGGTATTTTATTTTAAAATGCATTTTGATATATCTTTTCCCAACCCTGGCTACAGGATATATTTACATACTTAAACACAAAATGAAATAACAATTTACACTGATTATCCTGTTCAAACGTTTACCAACCCAAACGTGCAGAATGATTGATAGCAGAGAGTGTTTTCTGATTGGCTAATACAGTGTGGGCGGCTCTGACAGTCCAAGAATATCACAGAAAAAAAATAAAATAAATAAATAAATAAATAAATATATATATAGTTACGGGGAGACAGAGACGTGAGGATCCATCTGCATGCTTTTATTTGAAATATATATATATATATATATATATATATATATATATATATATATATATTACAATTTTTTATATTAGAATGATCAAGTGAATAAAGCAGTAACTAATCAGTATTACCAAAGTTACCCAATTGATTGATTACATTAAGAATTACAGAATTTTTTTTCTTGTTAAGTATTCTGAAATGTAAAGTTTAAATATGCAAATGTGGCATTATATAATTAAATATGCACTAATTTGCATACATTTACAGAAAAAAAAATCTGAAAGTTGGATAAAGCCAGATTCATAATTCTTCTTTGAATTTGTTGACATATTAAGAGTTTTTTCCAGAGGGGATTTTGGATTTTAGCGTTAGTTCTGGCAGGTCACGTTAGTCAAGCTCGCCCATCAACCTATGGGAATACGACACCTATCTAAGTATTCATATATAAGGTCCCTCAGTATTATCAGCAGTTTTCGCATTGCTCAATAGCTAATTACCCTCCTCCATCCCCAGCTCCTCCTCTGTCAGTCAGGATTCAGCCTTCTGATTCTCCTTTGAATTAGACTAATTCTAAAATGTGTACATAACATTATTGAACTTTAACGATATCTGCAATACATTTATGTTGGTTCTGTTCTGTTTACCCGGCGAGGCTTATCGCTGCTCTTCTTTCCCAGAACAGAACCATACCTTCAAACATCTTTGACGATAGGTCCTGACAGAACTAAAGTTCGGTGTATGTAAGAAAAAAAACCTTTGGATAGATACAGTATGTCCAAAAGATATGAATCGGAATTGACGCAAATAGATAAAATGTAATAAAAGAAACACTTAAATGTGTGTTTTGCGAGTTTTCTGTCCACTAGTCTGAATGAAGCAAAACTGACCAGTGCATGAACAGCACTGGTTTGGCCTGTAGTTTCTTGACTTAAAACGAATCCTAACTTCTCATTCACGTGCAGCACGTGATTCTTCAGCGGATGTAGGAGAGGTTGTAGAAGATCATCACACTATTATCATTCTTCTTTGGTCTGATGGTAACACAACATCTGCTTTCCATCAACTACAGCCTGATACTTACAGCTAAACCACAGTGAGAGACAGAAAGCAGGCCTGATACCAGAACACTAGAGACATCACAGCAAGATCTCCATCAGCCCCTTGGGCTCCTAATCATTATAAACTGCAAAGGATTATGGGATGGCCATCTTTCATTGGACGCTGCCTGCAGTCATTCCCTCATCATCTATGCCATTAAAACCATCACAAATCAGCAGCGGCGTGAGATTTGAGTTCAGATAGAGAGCAGAACGTTGTAGTTGTGAACTAATGTAGATCATACTCCAAACTAGAACTAGAGCTGCTTCGTAGCTGAAATTGAGCTTGTTTCATTGAGTTCTGCAGCATTAACACAAGTTTATACAACATTTCTCTTTTTCATTTAGTTTAACTTGATGTACTGAAGTAACCAACACCAAATAATCTAAAACTAACATATATTTAAAAAAAAACCTAATTCAAAGTATTAACAAATGCTCAATAATATCTCAATGATAGTCAAACAACACGGACAGGAAAGCTACTGTAAATATGATTTTCTTCCTTTTACTTTTGTCTTGATTTCTCTGTGAATGAAGTGTATTTTTCTGATATTTGTTCTTGTTTTAAAACAAGACATTCTTATCTTCTGTCATTTTGCTTCTCCAGTAAATATCTGTTGATTTGAGGGTGTTTAGATCATTTGTACCGGAAAGCAAGACAGAAACACTCATGAAGAATACACACAAGTTCATCGGCGCAAACACGAACGGTCAAGAACACTGACAAGAGTTCAGCTTTAGCATGTCAACAAATCCTTAAGTGATCAAACAAGAGTGCATTAAACTCAACCAGAGCCTGAACTGCCTTTGCACTGGAAAACATGACAGAAGGAAGACAGACACACGCGCTCCATCATCAGCGAACACGAAGAACCCCGCTGAGCTGCGACTGAATAGAGACGCTGATGTTCACACGCTCCACTGCTGAAGTCATCAAGCATTCCTCAGATCTTCACCGAATGATTCAGATGCACCATTTCCACCTGCCGGAGCAGAAGAATCCCACAGATGATCAGAGAGACGGCCGTGAAGAAGAAACCCCTTACACTTATAAAGCAGCACAGACACCACACACTAATTACAGTGTGCATAACACACACAAAACACAAACATCCCACTGATGAAAGATCATCATTTATTATGCTTACATATCAGGATCAGCAGGTCAAAACAAACAAAAAAAGAAATCAGGCTAAAACTAAATCACAGCAGCTCTTCTTCAGTCTTCATCATCACAAAGCTTCGGTCTCAGTGTTTTCCAGAAACGACTTCGAATCCCAGTCAATCAAGGCAAAAATGTGATCAAACTTCAACAAATACAACATACAGGAGGTCAATAACGCTGCGATATCTAACAGGTAGTGTCCTGCTCTATCAGCAGAGGTCAAAGGTCACCCACCGTGAGCATGAGTTCAGGTTAAATGCAGTCTGTCATCATTTACTTCAAACTCATGTGACTTACAGGCTGATCTCATCAAACGGGGTTATAATCATTAACTAACAGTGTAAAAACTTGAAAAAGTGAAATAAAGCTGAAATAAATTACACATATTACACGAAAAACTTTAGACGATAAACAGAAATGTTGCATTGGAAACTAACTGAAATAAGCTGAAGCATTAAAAGTACTAACTGGAAATAAAAATAATAATAAATTAAACTAAAACAGACTATAAATGGAATAAAAATGACATTAAACCTAAATAGTAATATTTAAAAATAATACAAGTGCCTGAATCTTAGACTAAGCTGAGCGTGTCGTCTTCGAGCAGCAGCTACAAGCTGATCAATCCCATCAGTCACTGCACAGCATGTCCTAACCAGACCCTGACTGATAAAACCAGCCGTTTGGAGCCCATGAAACCCTCCACGACTGAAAGCTTCTCATTCACACGTCAAGAGATCCAGCTCAGTCGAAGTCAACTGTTCATTTCTATTCTAGTGTAAAATACAGATATGAGCTGCCTTTATAAAATAAATCACCTCACAGTCACACAGTCATATAATGATCAAACATGGGAGTGCTTTAAGAAGTGTGTTCTGAAAGTCTTCATGATGATTCTGGAATTTCATTTCATCATTATCAGTGTTAGAATCCAATTCTGTATCAGCAGGTTACAAACATTAAACAGTTCTGAATTCAACTGATTCTTTTATCTTCTGTAGAGCTGCTTTACAGCTGAAACTACGTTTGTTTAATAACTAATGAATGTTTACGACATTCACACTGTTGTTTTCCAGTGTATTACTGTGAAGCTGATTTGCTGTAGAAATAAACTTGACTTCTTTTCTTCTGGACATTATCATTTTTTGATGCCTGATTCTACTTCATAATTTTTTACTGTGTTACAAGTTTTAATGCAAACTTTGTTTCAGTAAAAAAAAAACAAAATAAAGTAACCCTAACCCTAACAAAATAAATAAAATAAAATAAAAATAAAATAAAATAATATAAATGAATTAAAAATAATATAAATAAAATAAAACGGTGGTCTGATGATCTGAACCGAGTCAGTCCCTGAGCGCGAGTCTTTAACTGTGTCCCTCATGAAGCTCCTCAGATCCACAGTCCCATCAGTGATCCAGAGCGTGTTTCCTCTAGATCTTGTAGAACCCCTGGTGCATGAGCGCTCTGAGCCGCAGCCACTCGCTCAGTCTCTGTGTGGAGCTCTTGTCTCGCGTGAGCTCGCTGACGGCTCGCTGGAGTTTCTCCTGGTTCCTCTCCAGATACTGAAGACCCTCGGCCTGCAGCTGTGAGAGCTTCTCCTCTCGGCTCTCGTCCAGAGCCACGTCCTCGCTCATGTAGGGGTTAAAGCGGAAGTACGTGTTCGGCGGGAGCAGAGCGTCCAGCATAGTGTGCACTTCTGAAACACAAACAGACGCAGACTCACTGCCTGATCCATCTGATGAGCGGTACATTTACTGCATCAGCATTGTATGTTCTGTTCCTCCTTTACTACATTTCAGTTGCTAAATTAACCTATTAAACTTAGTTACTGGTTTATTCTATTTGCTTTGCTAAATATTGCATAACAAATGCACATAAAATATGTGGATGGAAAGATCGATTGTGAGTTCATTCTTACATGAACTGAATCATTTGTGAAATCATTTGAAAATAACAAAGAGATTGATTCTGCTTATGTTTCATGGTTGAGGCTCAGTGAATCGCATCATTATATAAAGAATCATTAGATATACATCACATCAACCCATCAGATCCTCATTTTAGCAGCAGCGCGTCTGTGTTGACGGCTGTGAATGCAGCGCTCACACTGGGAGGAAGGGAATTAATCTGGATTTATAAATAACCTGTGTGATTACAGCACGAGCAGGTTTAATCTCAGCTGGAGCAAAGGCCTCTGGGTAAAACCAGCTCTTCCGTCATAAGCACTGCATTACTGAAAGACTTCCTGTTTAGCCGTGACGGTGCTCGTGGTCTGATCCCGGAGTGACAGCTGTCAGTCAACACACATGTGACGGGGTGGACTCACCCTCGGTGTCGGTGGCGCTGCTGATGACGTGGCTGAGTTTGGTCTTCAGGCTGGTGTAGGAGACGCTGGTCCTGCCGGCCGTCTGGAAGCGTCCCGTCCCCAGAGACACCACGCACTGCAGCGGGACGTCCGGCCACAGACACTGACACTCGTGGATGGCCAGAGCCGTGGGGTTGTTGATCAGCATCCCGCCGTCCTGCACACACACCACACACAATGTCAAAATGATTTGAGACGGCCAATCAAATCGAAGAGGGCGGGGCTTTAGTTCACTGAAGCAACACTTCAGTCTTAATGGTGAAAGAGCATATGAAAAATGGAGCTAAACATTTAATGTTTGACAACTGTTTTATGATAGATATATTAAACAACAAACAGTAATATCCAGTCATGCAGTGTTTTTTTTTTGGTCAATTTTCATTCTGAATTTCATCTAAATGTCATTGAGCTGTTTACGACATAACCATATAATTAAATTTAAAATTAAAATGATTATTTACAATTAGTTGCAATGGATTACTTTACAATACATTCTAGTTCTTTAACTGTTCTTGTTTCGTATTCAATTCCCTTAAATCGCTTTAAATCCTTGAACTGCAAATTTCACAGTTAGAACATGTTTCAACATATTAGGCATATGATTGAGTTAATGTGCATGTATTTTAAAATAAAAATATTATTTGCAAATAATTCCAATGGATTAAAATACATTCTAATTATTTTATTGTTTTTCTTCCTTGGTCTTTATTCCCTTAAATCGCTTTAAATCCTTTAATTGCAGCTATGTAAAACTACTTCTCTTTTTAATATACAATTCTGCTATTTCTAATTATTTTTTGTGGTTCCTCTAATTCATAACTTAATGTTATGAGGTGAAAAACATTTGCCAAGTTGTTTTCAACATGTTAGGCATATGATTACAAGTGAACAGTTTTTTAAAATAAAAATATTATTTGCAAATAGTTCAAATGGATTACTTTACAAAACATTCTAGTTGTTTTATTGTTTTTTTATTATTATTCCCTTAAATCCTTTCTTAAATTTCTTTAAATCCTTTAATTATTTCATTAAAAATCAAAATGATTTTAATGGTTCTGGCCTTGAGTAATTCATTAGTATTTCACAGTGGGGTGAAATTATGAAATCTTTAAATCTGGTTGGCGTTCTATTATTTATTATTTAGTTTCCCTGAAAGACAAACAATGCAGTCCAATCTGAGGATCTGCGTCTGACGGGCAGGAGCCTGGTCACACCACAGGTACTGCAGTTCCCACAGTAAAATCAGAGTAAATGAATATGGCTGGTTTAGTATCTTATCTTGATGGCACTGCTGCTGGTTTCATGTGGAAAATGCAGACAGAATCACATAATCCATACATAAAAAAAATTGAATTTACTCTTATTTAACCATATATCAGAATTTGAGTTCCCTTTCAGTTGGTCACTCTCGACGTCACGTCGGTGACCGACAAATTGGGATCTCGCTTAGAGAGACCAATCCACTTCGAGTGTAAACTAAACGAGCCAATGCACATTGGCATGCGATGATTGCATCCAGCTGCCTCTGATCGCAGCGCGAGTATATCTAGGCAGCAGGTGCAATGCATACTCAGCTTTTCGCTTTGGAGCGGAGCGATCACATCGTTTTGCTCTTGACTGCTCTACTGAGAGAAGAAGACTGAACGAGTTCAGCGCGCTCTTTGGAGCTCTTGGTGTTGGCGGTACAGCTCTTCAGCGGTGGTGGTTTTCCCGTGTCGAGTGGGTTGCACACATCAGGCTGCACTACCCCGTTTGTGTTGCAGGCGGCCATCTCCCCTGTGCGCTTCAACACTCTGAAAGAGCTTTTTCCCTAAAAGAGCATTCACGGGTGCGTCTTTTTAAAGATGACGTTGTGTCTGGCAAACTTGACGTTGCGTCTTGCTACAGACAACGCATCACCCATGCGTTTCTGGATGTGGTCGTTACCTGGTGCTGGATGATGGTCACGATCGCTGCCTCATGTGTCTGGGCATTAAGCACGATGAGGTGGCGTTCGTGGATGAGTCATGTTTTCATTGCAGGAAGATGACCATCTCAGAGTTGCGGGCCAAGCTCTGTTACCTCGAAAGGGGCGAAGCTCCATTGCCTCTGCCTCGATCTAGTTCTCATCATGGCGGCAGTCAGGCGGGGGCTACTTCAGGCAGTAGCACGGGTGGTCTGAGGGTAACAGTGATGGCAAACCCCCCAGGGAACCAACCCTTGGGCAACCATCGCTCCTTTTGCACTCCGCAACCAGTTGAGCTGCCAAAGGAACGTGTTGGGCCCTCTACAAGGAGCGCACCAGCAGTATCCTTCAGCGCTCCTCCCGACGATCGGATGTCGATCGCTGCATCGGAGGGTGAGCCAGAGCTTTCTGGAGAAGAGGATTCGGCTGCACTGCTGCCCTCTGGGACTGTAGCAATGCCTGAATCGGATCCGGAAATGACGGCTATGCTTTCCCGGGCCGCCGTGAGGGTAGCGCTCGAGTGGAAATCTCCACCGTGTCCCGAGCCCTCGAGGTTGGACGATTGGTTCTTCGGGGTGGTCTGCGCTGGTTCTTAGCGCACCGCCCCGGTGCAATTCTTCCCGGAGGTGCATGAGAGGGCTTACCAGGTCGTGGAAGGCACCTTTTTCTGCAGGAAACCAACCTGCTAACTCCTCCTCCCTCACCACTCTCGACGGTGGTGCAACTAGGGGGTATACGGGGGTCCCCCCGGTGGAGCGGTCGGTTGCGATGCAGTTGTGTCCTGATACCGCCTCCACCTGGCAGGGCAAACCGTGCCTCCCCTCCCGGGTCTGCAGGTACTCGTCTGGTCTGTCCGGTGATGCTTATGTGGCCTGTGGAGAAGCTGCCTCCACCTTACACGCTACGGCGTTACTGCAGTTTCTTCAGGCTAAAGCACAGAGGGACCTGCACGAGGAAGGTCACTGCGAGTTCTCTGGGTCGTGCGATGTCCACACTTGTGGTCCAGGAGCGCCATCTCTCGTCTTAAAATACATTAAACAATTAAAAAGGATTCCATAAAAATTCAAATGGAAAAAAAATGAATGAAAAAAATAAAACATAATTTTGGGGGGGGATGACAGAATTTCGGGAAAAACAAAATGGAATTTGTGCAATCAGTCAATCAATCAATCATTAAAATACATTTGTGAAAAAAAATTGTTTATCGAAAAACAAAACGGAACTGTACAAAAATAAAACAGAATAAACCTGGACAAACCTGTTTTTATAGGCACCTGTGGTTTTACTGTAGTAAATTCAGTATTTTAGCATAGTTTACCATGAAGAGGAATGTGAAAGTGCCAATCGCTGCAGATGTTCCTGCTTGACCAAACTCATTTCCTCCTCGTGAAGTTTTCAGGGTGCAGGGAAATGAACAATAACCAATAATATCACAGCACGACATTCACAACCCAATCAAAAACCCAATCAGCCTACACTATTTCCCGCTCAATATGGAGTTTGACTCTGAAATGCGTCACATTACAGACGTTAAGCGTGCAGTGAGAGTTTGATTCTTGTTTTCTCCTTTAATAACATCTGTAAGTGAGGTGACTGAAGGTCTGTGATCCGTCTCACTGTGTGTACGATCAATAATTCATCTCTATCAACAGCTGCAAGAGCCACTGAGATCCACACAGAGCCACGCTTCAGCGCGAGAGACAGAAGACCCCAGACCAGGGCCGTGTCTAGAGCATTTTAAATGGGGGGGCCAGTCAGGGGCACTGGCTCAAAAGAGGGTGGCCGGGGGAGGGGGGGTTGTGTTTGCGGAACGATGTATGTTAAAAGCATACGTCCAGTTTTGTGTGAGTGAAGGAAATCCGCTTGGGAGTGGAGAGATTCGTCCTCGCGCACATGGATCGCGTAACATTATGCGCTCTCGACACTGTCATTAAGATCACACTATAGAAACCGCCTAAAATTAGAAATTTACTAAAAACAAGCCTATGGCAAGACATCTGGTGGGGGGGCACCTGGGGTGACCAGCCAAATTTCAGGGGGGGGCGGTGCCACCCCTGGCCACCACGTAGACACGCCCCTGCCCCAGACAGACACAAACAGCCCTGAAAACAGACAGAGAGCAGCTGAATGAGCCTCAAGACTCGTTCTGTAATGAATCAGCTGTAACCGTGATCACGCTCTCATAACACAAGCTCATGTGGATGTCCTGCAATACAACGCTTCAGAACTTAAATAGTTTTATTTTACAGTGGATTATTTTACTGTCAGTCTCTGAATGATTCCTCTAATACTTCATACGGATGTCAGATCCTTGAAAAAGAGAAAAATACTAGAATAATGTATGCTGCTAATGATGTGATAGTGACAAAAACTTTATCAATAAATATTAATTAATTAATGCATGCATCATCTTTCTTGTCCAATTCTTACATTTAATCAATAAATTCAGTTAGAATAATACAACATGATCGGCTGTTAGCAATCAGATGAAATTAGAATCAATAAAATCCAACCTTGCACTGCAGAAGTTGCATCTGAAGCAGCGTATTTACGATTGGCAGCGATTGGCACTTACATGTATTTACACTGTTTTAAAATATTTTGAATATTATTTTTAAATATGAAACGACTTTAAATATGAAACTAAACCCAAAAATAGGTGCCAACAAGTTTTAATGTGTGAGTCATTGAGTCATTAATTTAACTGACTCACTAGAACGGCTGATTCATTCAGGTGATTAAACAAGTGATCATTGAATCACTGATTTGAAATCGCTAATTCATTCAGGAACTATTTTCATTGGTGAAATAGAGCAAAAACAGACAATATTGTGTCTAAAATGTAACACAATATTGTGTTCACATGTGCACATTTGTGCTGATATTCAGAAAAATTATCAGTAATGTTCATGTGATATAACTTAATTATATAGAAATGCAAGACAATCTCAAACCAGAGCATTTTTGCCCACATATATTGAATTTTGGGTCAACTGAATTTTTGGTTTCCAAACAAAAACTCTCTAGGCCTGTTTCGTTTTTTTGGTTGTTTGGTTTTTGCAAAGTGACACTGATGTCAGTTTACAATCACTAAAACAACAATTATGATATCATCATCAACAATACATATGGCAGATGCCACTGATTTAATTCACTGATCATTTACTTATTTCGTTTACTGAATTTCGCCGAACTTTCGCAGAATCGACTAC